TAGGCCCACATTGTATATACTATATATGAACTTTTTTGTCACTTAGCAATAAACAGTATCTCATATCATTAAGTATTCTTTATTTCCTGGCAGAAGCAAACACTCTGAGCTTTTCCTTGGAGCTCCTTAGAAGGACTAACAAGTTTCAGGTGGAATAGCTTTTTAAAATTTGTTAAGGTTTTTCCATGTCACTTCAATGCATCTTCCAGGCCTCTTTTTTACCTCCCCTCTTGAGATACCCCAAAGTGACCTTTTGATATTTCTGACCCAATGTTAATCTCCAGCTTATTAAGAATCACTCTCCAATCAAAGGAATTTGACCTGGAGTTCCATTAACGTACCTTTGACAGTGTGGGAGTCTAGGTTGGAAGGCAGCTGATACGTGGGCATGCAGCCCATACAAGCAGTCTGAAGAGCATTTTCAGGAAGAGTGTCACTGGAAACTCACAGGTGGGAAAACCAGGGAAACGGGGCGTGCAGATGGTGTTCACCAGTGCTAGTCGGACTTCAGATTGGGGCTGGACTTCGTGTAGGAAAGACTGAAGGCAACAGCTACCTCTCAGTCACTTCCACCAAGAGTCAGTGCTCCCCATCCCAGGTTCTCCTTCAGCACCAAATGGCAGTAGGTCTCACTGGGAAAGGCACGATGAAATTTGGTTGTCAGAGCTCTGTAGGCAAAACTGCAATTAAAAAAGCCTTGGATTGGTTGGTTTGTTACGTTTTGTGACAATGCTTTAAGGAAAGTAGGTGTCTGGGACTTTTTCGTGTGTACACAAAGGGGCCCAGAACAAGGATTTGCCCCAGGACTTGTCTGAGTGTTGTAAACAAGTAGGGACACACAGCAAGAAACCTCTGTCCCTCCATCTGTGGAGTACCACCGCATGGGAAATAGATGCCCCGTGCCTGGTTTTTGAAGTGAGCCCAGTTTTCTAGAAAAGCAGGCAGGATATTAGATGATGAGAACAACTCTTTTCTGTGTTTTAGAGGCCTGTTTGCCAAGTTGCCAGCTGCACCAGCGTGGCTGGGTTTCTTTACTCTGTTCCTGGTTGCCGTCGAGTTGATTCTGACACATGGCAGCCCTGTGTGTGCAGAGTACAACTGCTCCGTAGTGTTGACTTAATGTGACAGATGTTTCTGAAATGTAGTTTTTCTTTACCGACTTGAATGTGTGCTTTGTAAAGTTTTACACCAGAGTTACTTCCTCGTAATTATCCAGATGAGGGCCGTGAAGTCAGCGAGCCTGTCCTCTCTGCACCCTGTCCTCCCTGTACCCTGTGACTGAGCACACACTTTAAGATGTACTGCTGCAGTTTGGAAATTCAAATTATGGCAAGTGTTTTCATTTTCTAAATCTTGCCTTTGTCTGAAAGCACAACCGCTCTAAAAGCTGTGATTTTCCTGAAGTTTAAACAGAGACATTCAAGAAACTTAAGCCTAGAGGAAGGCTGTCTCCCATCCCCCACCCCTGACCCCCAGAACCCTGGGAAAATGTAACCTTATTTAAAAACAGCTTTATATTGACTTAACTCAGTTTATGCCCATAACAGGACTCACTGATGCCTGTATACCATTTTCGGAAGGATTAACAAACTAGGTCTTAGTTCTCTTACTAAAAAGCAAGGTTTTCTCCTTGGCATTGGGAGAGTAAGACCGCCAGTGACACCTTCTGGCCACCAGGTGGCGATGTGTCCACAGGCAGCTCTTATCACCAGGGAGAACCTCTTTAAGCCCATTGTTTTGGCATTTCTGGGTTTAGCTGTATTTTTGCACTCTTGTTTTATTCAAATCTTGTTTGGGTTCCAGTAGATCAGAGAATGATCTCTAATTAAAACTTATTTTTAACAAGCCCTGAGTAAAAGTCACTTAAGGTAATTCCTTAAAAATATGTAATTTAACACACTTTATATTTTTGAAGCCTGTTTCTATAGTAACAGCAACAAGCAAGCTATATATACTGTTTACCCAATTAAAAGACCTGAAATGTCTTCTTAGGCTTTCCATCTGAAGCACTTGGGCCTTGGATAACCTCTCCCCTCCTTGCTGGAGTTGCCTAGTCCTCGTTTACCCAGTAGCTCCTGCCCTGTAAAGCCAGCAGCCCTTGCTCACATCCTGCCTTCCTGCCCGTGTCCTTGGTGTTCCATCGCTGTGTCACTGCAGCAGGAGACGGGCAAGGGCCTCCTGGGAGTCTGACAGGGAGGAGGAGACTCAGGAGGAACAGGAGGTGGGGCTCAGACAGCACATGGGACACAGGTGATACTAAGTTTCAGGCCCGAAAGAATCAAGGTGAGCATGTATGGGGGCCGGAACGAGGCAGCTAGGTGCTCAGTGGAGCCAGTGGAGCATGACTCAGAATCCAGAACTGGCACTGGGGTCAGAGGGCACGGGCGCAGAGAGGCAGTGAGAACAGCTGGGCCTCACCGATGGGCTTAGTCACATTGGCCTTTCCTTACAGGCAGGGGTGACCATGGGGCCTCTCTTCCTGCTGAGGGGGGTGGGTGGAGTGGGCCCATTCCTCCTCTGACCACTCCACCCCGCCTGAGCTGGGTGCACTGCCTTCAGTCAGAGTAATTATCCAGCACTACCTGTGAATCAGGTGCTTCAGTAGGGGCCTGGGGGCGTAACACCGGTAAGTCACAGTTTCTGGCTACAAGAGACAAGCAGCAGTCTGTTTCAACAAGCTTTCTAGGTGATAGATGCACGTTCGAGCTTGGGAACTGCTGCTTCATTCTTCATGGTCAAAACCAGTTGCCAGCGAGTCAGTTCCTACTCACAGTGACCCCAGGTATGTCAGAGGAGAACTGTACTCCATAGGGTTTTCAATGGCTGATCTTTTGGAAGTAGATCACGAGGCCTTTCTTCTGAGTCACCTCTGAATGGACTTGAACTTCCAAGCTTTGGGTTAGTAGCTGAGCACATTAACTGTTCACGCCACCCAGGGTCTCCTCAGAGTCAGTAAATTCCCTTTTTAAGTGACTGGGCTAAGGAAGTCCCTGAAGCATTTCCTTCCCTCTTCTCCTCCAGGCAGTTGAGAAGGGACACTGAGGAGACAGCAGTCATTGTGGTCTGCAGAGGCCAGCAGGAGAGCCCCCGGATATCTGTCAGGGCCCTTGCTAGACTCCACTTGACAGCTCTCGATGGCTTCATCTGTTCTGCCAGGCAAGCCAGTTAAGCAGACACTCACGCTGATTTGCAGCAAGAGCCTGCTGTGCATGTGAAGTCGGAGCGAAATGAATCACCCGAAGCACTTCCTGGTGATCATCCCAGTTAATCAGGCCTCATCCTTCTGGGCACTGGGATCAAGTGGACTCTGTTTTTAATGCCATTTTGGTGGTTAAGCTGCCACTCTGGTGTCCAGCCAGGCAGTTAGTCAGATGGCTTTCCCCTGGAGGATGCAGGTTTCTGGAGCTTGGTTTTCAGCAGCCTGGCTTGGCAGGCCATGCAGCTGCGGTAGCAGCTGAGTGTGTGCTGTTCTTGTCTTTGCAGGAATGAGCTAGAGCGACAGTTTCTTGAATTGCTCCAGTTCAACATCAACGTTCCTTCCAGTGTTTACGCCAAGTATTATTTTGATCTCCGTTCTCTGGCAGAAGCAAACAACCTGAGCTTCCCCTTGGAGCCCCTCAGCAGGGAGAGGGCTCACAAGCTTGAGGTAAGATGCTTTAAAAACATTCTTTTTTAGTGCATTATTGCAGGTACATCTTCTGGATACTATGCAAGTGTTTGATAACAGTGGTAAGTTCTCATTGTTATCAAATAAGATGAGGTGCTCTGGATTTATAGCTGGTCGTTTAATTTAGTTGATTATAATTTGTACAACTTTTTTTTATTGTGCTTTAGGTGGAAGTTTACAGAGCAAATTAGTTTCCCATTCAATAGTTTGCATATAATGTGTTTCATAGCTTTGGTTTCATTCTCCACAATGTGTCATCTCTCTCCCCATTTCTGCCTTGGTTTCCCCATTTTCTTCTTCCTGATTATCTACCCCTTCCTTCCTTCTCATCTTGTAATTGATTGTTCTAAGGAGTATGTTCCTCTCGGTGTTATTGTTTATCTTATGTGCTTGATTATTGTTTGGCTGGGAGGTGGTCTCTGAGAATGGCTTCATTTCCAGGCCAGAAGGGTATCTTAGGGCCATAGTCTCAGAGGTTCCTCCAGTCTCTATCAGACCAGCAAGCCCAGTCTGTTTTGTGAATTTGATTTTCTTGTTCTGCAGTTTTCTCCCGCTCTGTCCAGGACCCTCTGTTATGATTCCAGTCAGAGCAGTTGGTAGTGGTAGTTGGGCACCATCTAGTTCTTCTGGTCTCAGGGTCATGTAGTCTGTGATTCATGTGGTCCATTAGTCTTTTTTTTTTTTTCCCACATACAAAAATCTGTACATAGTTATGTGACCCTGGTTGCTCTCCCCATACTGTGACAGCACACTGCTCCTTTCCACCCGATTCCCCATGTCCATTCAACCAGCTCCTAACCCTCCATCTCACCTCCGGACAGAAGCCACCCGTTTAGTCTCTTGTATCTACTTGAGCTAAGAAGCACACTCTTCATGAGTATCATTTTATGTCCCACAGTCCAGTCCAATCCCTGTCTAAAGAGTTGGCCTAGGAAATTGTTTTAGTTCTGGGCTGATAGAAAATCCAGGGGCCATGCTTTGCGGGGTTCCTCCAGTCTCAGACCATTAAGTCTGGTCTTCTTACTAAAATTTGACTTCTGCACCCAACCTTTCTCCTGTTCCATCTGGGACTGTCTGTTGTGTTCCCTGTCAGGGTGGTCATTGGTGGTAGCCAGGCACCATCTAGTTCTTCTGGTCTCAGGCTGATGAAGTCTCTGGTTTATGTGGCCTTTTCTGTCTCTTGGGCTACTACTTTCCTTGTGTCTTTGGTGTTCTTCATTCTCCTTTACTCCAGGTGGTTGGGACCAATTGATGCATCTTAGATGGCCACTTGCAAGCTTTTAAGACCCCAGACGCCACTCACCAAAGTAGGATGCAGAACATTTTCTTAAAAAGCTTTGTTATGCCAGTTGACCTAGATGTCCCCTGAAAGCATGGTCCCCAGACCCCTACCCCTGCCACTCTGTCCCTCAAAGTGTTTGATTGTATTCAGGAAACTTCTTAGCTTTGGTTTAGTCCATTTGTGCTGACTTCGCCTGTAGTGTGTGCTGTCCTTCCCTTCACCTAAGATAATTCTTATTTACTATCTAGTTAGTAAATAACCCTCACCCTCCCTTCCCACTCTCATAACCATCAAAGAATGTTTTCTTCTGTGTTTAAACCTTTTCTTGAGACATGTGGTCCGTTAGTCTTTTGGACTAATTGCCACCTTGACTCTTTGGTCTCCTTCATGTTCCCTCACTCCAGATGGGAAGAGACCAATAGTTGTATCTTAGATGGCCACTTGCAAGCTTTTAAGACCCCCGAAGCTACTCCTCAGAGTAGGATACAAAACATTGTCTTTGCATACTATGTTGTGCCAATTGACAGATATTCCCCAAGTCTATGGTCCTTTTTCTTCTAGCCTAAACTTCATATTTTTACTAACCTTTTTTTATTGTGATGAAAATATATTTAACAAAACATTTGCCATTTCACGCTTTTTATGTGTACAATTCTTTGATGTTATGTTCCCTATATTGTATAACCATCACCAATATCCCTTTCCAAAATTGTTCATCACCCTTAACAGTAACTCAGTGCCCCTTAAGCAGTAAGTCCCCCTCACCCCCTCCCAGCCACTAATAAAGTTTGGTCTCTATGCTTTTGCCCATTCTGAATATCTCATGTAAGTGGGATCATACTGTAGTTGTCCTTTTGTGTCTAACTTATTCACTCAGCATAATGTTTTCAAGCTCCATCCATGTTGTAGCATGTATCAGGACTTCATTTCTCTTTCTGGCTGAGTAGTAGTCCATTGTATGTATGTACCACACTTTATCTATTCATCTGTTGATGGACATTTAGGTGGTTTCTATCTTTTGGCTATTGTGAATAGTGCTGCAATGAATATTGGTGTACTGTGTCTGTTTGAGTCCCTGCTTTCAAGTCTGTTGGGTCTATACCTAGGAGTAGAATTGCTGGACCATATTGTAATTCTATGTTTAACTTTTTGAGGAGCCCCAAAGTGTTTTCCACAGGGGCTATACCATTTTACAATCCCACCAGCAATGGATGAGGGTTCTAATCCTTGCCAGCACTTGTTATTTTGTGTTTTTTTCTGATACTAGCCATTCTGCAGAGATACCACAAGTGGGTGGCTTTTAAAGAACGGGAATTTACTGTCTCACAGCTCAGAAAGCTAGAAGTCCAAACTCAAGACATGGCTCCGGGTGGATGTCCTTCCTTGTCTGTTTCAGCTTCTGGTAGCTGCTGACAATCCTTATAGAGACACCTATCTCCATCGTCTGTGTTCCTTTGTCTCCCTGTGTGTGTCTGTGTCTAATGTGCTCTTTTTATAACTTAGAAGTGATTGGATTCAGAAGCCATCCTACTCAGGTATGACCTAAATAACATAACAAAGGAAACATTTATTTCCAAACAAGATCATACCTACATGGATAAGGGGCCAGGATTTGTGGAGAGACACAATTAAATCAGTAGCAACCTCTTTACTGGTCTTGATTTCTCTCTCCCCTGCAGCCCATACTCTGCACTGCCCCTGGAATTGTTTTTCTAAAATGTAGCTGTGAGTCTTAGAATATTCACTGTTAAAAATGCTAGTAGTTTCTCATGGGCCGAGCCAGTCAGCCCAGCAGGAGCAGCCTTTTTGGGCTGGCCCTGGCAGCTCTCCTCTTCCCACCCCTTGCTGCCCTGGAGTAGCCTTCCTACAAACCCTAACTTCACCCCACTTCTCACCAAGCCCAACCCCACGTGGTCATGATTTCCTGCCTTCTCTTAGAACGCCTCACCCCTCCTGACAATTTCCGCCTTCTCCAAGCCTAGTTCTGCTGCCTGCCCTTCCTCAGTTAAGAGGATCCCCTCAGGGACCCCAAAAGGACAATCAGCTGCTGGGTCTTCTCTGTTCTGTGTATTTTGAACACACTTCTGTTATGTCTCTGCCTCTATTATGTGTGCCTGTTGATTGGAGCTTCCCACATCTGTTCAACTATTATTTATCTTCTGAGCACCAGACGCTTTTCCAAGCACTGGGAAACCATCATGGACCCAACAGACAGATCCACATGCTTTCGGAGTTTACCTCCTGGTTGGAGGAGACAGGCAATAAACATAATAAATAAATTGGCTAGTATATTAGAAGGTGAGAAAAATAAAAATGAGAAGGGTAAGGAGGTTGCTGTGTGAAGTAGCTCCCTTGAGTAGGTGACATTTGCGTGGAGACTTGGCCATGGCGAGGAGTTAGGCACCCAGCTATCTGGAAGAAGAGACCTCAGGTGGGAGCAGCCCAGTGTGATGGAGGCCTGGCAGGGAGATGAGAAGATGGGGGAGGAGATGGGACTGAGTTCCACAGGCTTTGTAGGGCGTGGTGATGGCTCCCTGGGTTTTAGGAGGCCACCGCAGGGTTCTGAGCAGAGGAGTGACAAGATTGGATGTAGGCTTTCAAAGGAGGACTCTGGCTCTGGGGCACAAGGCTGGAAGCAGAGAGACCAGCTACAAGGGTGATTGTCACAGTCCAGGTGAGGGACGGTGGGGATCTGACCCGGGCGGCTATTGAGGAGGGAAGGCAGGAGAGAGTGGCCGGTGGCTTCTGTGCCCTGTCCCTTCACAGTGACTGGCACTGTGTCTGCCCCTTGGCCCTTGGCACCACCCCTGGCTTATTGTTTGGATTGTATAGAAATAAAAAGGCCTCATCTTTGCGTCATCATAAGTGCTTCACTCCCATCCTTGGGATGATCTTATCAAATGTCAAGATGACCTTGACCGGGACAGACCGTCTGGGCTGAGTGTGTGCTGCCCCACCTCTGACAGGATGGTTCTTAGCCTGTACCTGAGGGCAGCCCAGGAGAGCCAGCCAGGGAGAGTGTTGGCCGGCCCTGGCCTTGCTCAGGGCCCCAGCAGACCTCCTCGTCCTCACCAGATTCCCTCCCGGTCCGTTCTTCTCAAGTCGACTCTCTTACTGGGTCCTTTTCTGCTCTGACTCCTCTAACTCACGGCACAGCTGAAGCTGCCAGTAGCTGCATATGTATGTCGAGCTTCCTCCCAGCCAGGGACAGCACTAAACTCGTGTGGGTTGTGTCATGTCCACGTTCACAGCATCCCTGTGGGAGAGGTGCTGTCAGTGTCACATTCAGAGGTAAGGTTGCAAGGATCTGAGGTATGGGCACATGCCTGGGATCACCCACCACAAGGTGGTAGAGCTGGGATCGAACCCAGGTCTGCTGACTCTGGGCTACGCCACCTTCTAGTTCTTTCACATTCTTAGAGTCTTTTCTTAACGAGCGTATGAGCACTTGGGAAACAGGGACTGTGTCTGTACAGGTAGTCCTCAACTTACAACGGGCTCACTTCCAATGACTCCCTTGTAAGTCGGTTCTGACATAAGTTGAATAACTGTTTTTTTTTTTGTTTGTTTTTTAGTATTCATTATCATTGCCTTTTATTTCAGTATCTTTATATATGCGATCTTTGAACGTCTGCATGGTAACATCAGCAAATTATGCACTGCAACGTTGTATGCAGTATATATTACTAACAATAAAATGTACCCCAAAAAAAGGTGGTGGTATGTGCAGTTTGTGCTAACTCCCAGTACGTCATAAGTCGGGGACTACCTATACTTCCTTTTGTGTCCCCTGCTGCACCTGGCACAGATGAGAGCCGTGGGTTGTAGACTCCACAGGGACAGGGATGTGTGTCTGCTTTGTTCACTGCCGTGTCCTTGGTGCCTGGAACAGCGCTTGGCAGATGGTGAGTGAGTGCCCAGGACGTGCTTAGAAGGCGTAGAGTTCTGACCTGCCTTGTCTGTCTCTGCCCTTAGGCCATCTCTCGGTTGTGCGAGGATAAGTACAAGGACTTGAGAAGACCCACACGGAAGCGGTCGGCGAGTGCTGACAACCTGACTCTGGCGAGGTGGTCCCCGGCCATCATCTCCTAACAGGGGACCTCCTTTTCCAAGGACTGTTTCCATCCCTCTGCTTTCTCCTTTAGTTCGAGAAAAGACAAGACTTGGGGTGGTTTTTTGGTTTTGCTTTCATTTTTTCCTTCCCTTTTCTTTCTTTCTTTTTTTTAAATTAGTAGCTCCATCAGACTGTCAGCGACACCTCCGCGCCATGGCCACCTGCAGCAAGGCTTCGGGGACGCGAAGTCAGTATTCTGGAAATCCTGTTTCATGCCTTTCCGCCATCATCATTAATAGCATTTCGTTTGTGGAGGAAACACTGACTCTAATCCTGGAGGAGGAAATAAAGGGAAAGAAAAGTAGTATAGAGGCAGGGAAAGATGTCTGAATGGCTTTGCCATCTCCTAAGTCCACCTGTCTCGTCAGTAGATCAATATAACGTGAAAAAAAAGCCTAGATAAACAGATTTGGATGTGCATTAAAGAAACCGAGTGGCCGTGTTTTATCATAACCTCTTTGGATTAGTATGTTCTGTGAGACTTTTTGCATTCCTTCTTGCTGCTGCCTTTGGGTCTGGGGGATTTTTGTTTGTTTTCACGCTGTTTTGGTTTTGGTCCCACAGAGCAGAGAATATAGTTTGTACCTGCCATGGCACAGACCTCCAAATAAATAGTATTGGTTGCTCCTCCCTGCACTCTTCCTGTGAGCTGTCTTCTGAGCTTTTTTCCTCACAAGTGGGACGCACTTGTTACGTTTCCGTACACCTTTATATGATCTACTTTTTCTTCAACAATGGCAAAATTAACTTTACTGTAGTGCTGAACCAAAAGTCCCCCTTTCCACCCTTATCCCTCACCCCAAGAAAATTCTACATCACACAGGTGCTTGTGCCTTCCTGTTTTCTCTGACCTGAAGTTGTTAAAAAACCAGTCAGACTTTGTGGGCTGAAGGAAACAATGTGCCGCAGAAGGTCCCTTCTGGATGAGATTTGTTTTTCAGGTGTTTTCCTGAAGTCACTGAGAAGGAGCCATTTTTTTGTACACCCTGCCTAGTTCATTATTCCATGTTCACATCCATTGTTGCAAGCAATATTCTTCTCAATTTTTATATGTTTACTTTAAATCAGAGTTCTGTCTATTTGTATAAAATTTTTAAAAAATCTAAAATTAAAAAAAAAAAACAGCAACAAAAAAACAAAGGTGGGTGGGTATTCCCGTGGGAAGATCATGGAAGAGCAAAATGTTAATATTTACTGAGGTATTTTTCACAGAATGATTGAATTAAAAAAAAAAAAACTGGCATTTTTCATTGTGGGTGCTTAGAGAAGTTACATGAAATTCAAACTGTGAAGGTTTATGCTTCATTAACTATTACCACACTTTTTCATTTTCTGACCATCCCTGATTTCCTTACGGGTTAGGTAAGAATCTTTTCTATCGAGTCATGTAAGGGGTTCATGGTATAATGTCAAAAAGTAAATTTGATATTAAGTCTCAGAATCTGAGTCATTGAAGCATATAGTGCTTTTGTTTTTTTGCATATTTTCCTAGGTCACATGACAGGTTTCTCAGTGTCTTTTTCAAGTGTCCATGATACAAGCAACAGCAGATTTTCTGTGTTTGACTTCATTCTTCTGTTGTCTTAGAAAACTGTGGAATCGTGTATCAGTCTTGACTATCCTGAAATCATACATCTGATCCCAAAACCCTGCCTTCCTCTGAATGAAACATGCCTTGGAAATGGAAGGGACTCAGAAAGTTGAAATACCAATAACACCAAACCAGCATTTCTAGTCAGGTTTAATTTAAATGAAATTTGTATCACGCGTAAACTTCACTGTTTGGGTTAGAAAAATCGTCCAGTTCTTTCTGGCCTAACATTTGAAAAGCAAACAAGCAAAATATAAAAGCTTATTGACCTTTCCATTGTAATTGTCTTGATACACTCTTTGTGAGTACCAAAATGAGTTTCTCTCTTCAAGTAAGAGTTGGATTTAGAACTTTAAATAGAGCTCTAAAAATGTAGAAAATATTGTTTTATACTCCCTAATCTACATAGCTTAAAAAGGGACATATTTTCTTAGCAGAATGTGAATTACCTCTCAAGCGTAAATTAGTTCTTCTCATTATGTAATGTATCTTATTTTACTGATCCATTTCAGGAAAGAGGTTCTGCTGCCTTTATAGCAGAAATCTTATTTTTATCCCTTTTATTTGAATGAGAGAGATTTGAAAATTGAATTATGTAAATATTTCAATGCATCTGCTATTATTTTGTGGAGTTTATTAAACTACTTTAAAAAATTGTATAGTCTATTTATTGTATGTATGTACATACAGTCCAATACTTAAAATTTAAAGTGGATTCCGTAAAACCTGGCTCAGTCTTGTTGAGACGATTGAGTATCGTTTTAGCCTTGTGCACTGGACTCTACCTCTGTATAGGAAGATTTTCCATAGTCATTAATTAGTATTGATTCTGTATTAACTGGGTTATGTTTCTTGCACTAAGGAGTTTTAAAACTGCTGTTTAAGTGTAGATTTGAGTTTTTGTTTTGCAGTATGTATCACTTGACACATAGGTAGATACTTTAGGTTCATTTTATTTTTTTCTACATGATGATGAAGACTTACCTTTTGTTCTCTGGCTTGTTCTAAGTTTGCCAAAAAAAAGTACAGTACCTATTGATAAATCGTAGTGACTGTAATTTGTTTGCAAGGTTATTCAATACCCAACATTAAAGCCCGATTGCTATTTAGGAACACATTGTCTTAGTGTAGTTTTTGAATGGAGAGTTTTTGTCATGGATGAAGCAAACCACACAATTAGTTGACTTTTAATTTTAGAGTTAACTTACAAAATGAAAGTCATTGGGAGAATAAATATATATATCCCAATGAATTTTTTACTTTTTTTGACTGTGGAAGGGGACAAGTCAGGGGTTTTAAACCAACTTGGAGGGCAAGATATGAGAGTTTCTACCAAAATCCAACACGTCCTCCCATGCCTTCATGCAGTAAGTGGGGCCAGTGCAGAAGGCCTCAGACAGGTCATCTGTCTCTTCCCCTGAGGTGACTCTGGCAAGCTCCTTCACTTGCACGTTGGCAGGGGCACCTCCTTCTTGAGGTTTCCCTTGGTTCCGGGGGTCTCATTCTCAGCTGACTGCAGAGAGCAGACTTTTAGGAGTGATTGATTGCACACACACAAACACACACCCGCTTTTGGTAATCTCTCATCTGGGGCCATATTTTACAGCCTTGATTTTTTTTTTTAGATAATAAAATATAATTCCTGGTTCATTGTAGGCACTTAATAAGTGTGAACTAAATACTTAAATAAATAATGCAAAGCAAATAGTGCCTGCCTTCCTGCTGCGTTTTTTGAGTGTTATGTTGAGATAAAAGTCAACAGGTTTTATGGATACTGAGTGAACCAGTTCTTTGCAAGAGAAGTGGTAGAACAATCTCGAGCGATTCACAAAAGTATGAGAAGTACTTCAAAACTTGCAGCAGTTGAGATTGATGCGTGACAGAGATCTAATAGAACGCTTTTATATCAATAGATAGCTGTCATCGAGTAGGCTCTGACTCCCGGCAACCTGTGTCCAACAGAACTAAACATTGCCCAGTCCTGTGTCACCCTCACAATTACCTGCATATCTGAATCCATCCTTGTGGCTACACTGAGTGTTTTGCCCTTGCCGTCAGGGGTCTTCCACTTCACCAAACATGATGTCCTCCAGCGATTGGTCCTTCATGATGTGTCCAAAACAAGTGAGTTGAACAGTGTCCTGTTGTGATCCATAAGGTTTTCATTGGCTAATTTTCAGAAGTAGATCACCAGGCCTTTCTTCCTAGTCTTTTTCTGGAAGCCCTATTGAAACCTGTCCACCATGAATGACCCTGCTGGTATTTGAAATATTGGTGGCATAGCTTCCAGCATCATAGCAACACACAAGCCACCACAGTACAACAAACTGATAGGTGGTGGATTGAGACCCTGTTTCACCTTAAATCACTATATCTCGACTTCACTGGAGTCTGCATCTCAAGACTTAAATTAGGTGGATCTCATAGACATGGATCATCTTCTGAAAAGCCAACCACAGAAAGCCCCTGCCCTTGATGAAAAACAAGAAAATGGAAACAAGACTTGAGCTGAGATGGGAAAAGGATACTTAAGAACTGACTTGGGTTTTATGTCTTAGGCTATATGGACTGCCAGGAAAGTCCTACAGACAACTTCATTAAAGTCATGACTTGCTGTTTCTTAAACCACTACTGCCTTAGTTTGCACCAGAAAGTCAGCCTACTCCTTCAGGCGACAAAGAAGTCGGGATGGAGGGTAGGGAGACACCTAAAAGCGCTTGCAGTCAAAATCGAGGATGGAGTTTGGACCTGACCAGATCAGCTGACTTCTTCCCAGATTTTCCTCATAGGTTTTCCTATTATATGTGTACATGTGATGGTGCTAAAATGCCCACGTGCCACTTTGCATTTGAATATTTCTTCAGGAGTTGAAATCATCAACACTGAAACGATCTGCTTTCATTCATTTCTCAAGGAGAAGTCACTGAAAGTCATTGCATGTTTGCCTTGCTGCAAGTCCAAGCCATGATGAAGCTCCCAGGTAGTGATTTATCCGGGCAACTGTTTACATCTGTTGTAGATTCTCAAGGAAACAGTTCCGGAAGAAAGTGCCACAGTAAGAAACTAAAGTGTGGTATTTAACTAGATGGTGTTTAGATTTTACAGCTTTTAGTTCAGTGAACTTTTACCCTTTAGTGACTTTTAGGAACATTTTGTTTCTATAAGTTATTTCAAATACGAGACAAAAGAACAGCATTCCAAAATAAGTACCGTTTTGGACACAATAAATGTAACTAGAATTTATGCATAACATTATGTTGGTATTGATGTGTATCGTGATGGAGCCTTGGTTTTCAGACTCAGTCCAGAATGAACTTGCTCTGTGATTTTTGGACGATCACTTCACCTCTTGGACCTCTTGGTTAACTTGGCTGTTAGTTGATTTTGCCTACCTCTCTGGGATCTTGTGGTGAGGGCTTTATGAATGAGAGTATGCAATGAGAATATGGGAAAACACTTTGAAGAAGAATAAAGCTGTATTCAAATGCCTACATTCACAGCACCACTGTTGGATTTGGTGACAAGACACGGGATCAGGCCCTAAATGTTGACTCTTGGGTAGAGGAGCTGTTAAAAGGGAAAGAGACTCTTAGAAGACAAAAAGTGAAGGCTAATTGGGATTGAGTTTGCAGAGGCAGGATTGGGAGGACAAGAGCAAGGCAGGGGAGATGGGGGACAGGTGATGTGCTCTGGCAAAAGGGAGGTGGATTCAGCAAGACTTTGTAGCAGAGATGAGCAGAAAAGAAGAAGCACTAAGTTGATTTCAGGTGGCTAGGAGGAGGGCACTTCTAGAGTGCATCATGGCAGGAAAACAGTGTCCTGAACTTCTGGGTCCAGGAGGACCTGACCTCATGAGACCCTGGCACGGGAAACAATACAATAAGCCTGGTTGTTTTATTGGCTTGGCTAATGCCTAAGCAAATAATAGTGTGACTGTGTTTGTCATTCACAAGCCATGGGTAGAGGGCAGGGTCAGAAACCCCGTTGTTTCCATAGAAACTGCATTCAGGGATTTTTTGCATGCTCAGAGATAGGTTTTTTTTTTTTGCCACATATATTCCCCTCAATATTTATGTGACAGAGTTGAGCAGTAATCAGTTTAGGAATTGTCCCCTCTCTGGGAATGTGTAAGAAATGGCTGGTTGCAAGCTAAAACTCTGAAAATAGGGAAACAGAAAGTAATATGTAAAAGATGACAACGTTAAAAAAGGGACTAAAAAATGTAGTCAGATTTTTCACATGGAGAGGAAGTCAAGGCAATAAAAAGAAATAAAAGACTGGTTTAAACTTAGAAAAATAGGGGTAGATATTAAGGTAACCACAAAGGAAACTAACAATGCTACACATCAAAATAGAAGAAAAACTTAGACTCAGCAAATCCAAAATCAACAACAGTAAAAAAGTGAAAATACACGAAAAACGACTCAGCACAGAAAATTAAGTGGAACAAAGAAACTGTCAACAGCACAAAAAAAGATATCAAAATGACAGCATTAAACTCATACCTATCAATAATTACACTGAATGTAAATGGACTAAATGCGCCAATAAAGAGA